ACAGGAAATCTATATTCAAAATAAGATTGGTTTGGGCAAACTTACCTTGGCTTACCAAGCAAGCATTTCCACTGATGCACATAAATAAGTGCTACTTAGTATGAGTTTGGGTGCAATTGCGGAACCATAGCATTCTTCTTCTGACAAACAGATGAACACAAGAACTTTAGGCAATTCACAAATTACATCCATTAAAGAGCTCTCTCAAAACAACCAGCATTGAAGTAATTCAGAGAAAGCTGTCCTGCAGTGTGAGTTTTGTCCTGAAAAAAGACATGACTTTGGATCATTTACATGCAACTCTGCTAAACAAAAACATTGGACCAAGCAGGCTGTTGCCTACAAAAGTTTATGCTTCTGAATCAATTTGTAGGGTGCCACCCTTGACCTGCTTTCTGCCCGATTTCAGACTAACAGTTAGCCACCTTACTTTATTCTCTATCATTGCACAAAGAATCTATTCATTCTGAATCAGTATTTTGTTCTTGCATTTAAAAGGGCAAGATCAAAAGTACCTAGGTTAGGTGTTCAAATTCCAAATCCCTGAAATTCTGTAAAAGCTAGGTGCCTAAATGCATAAGGCAGTTTTTAAAATGTTACCCAAATGTTTTAAAGTTTCTTTTTATCTGCTAAGGAAGTTTCAGATAAAGTTTTCCTACCCTTAACAGAAAAATAAATGCATCATCTAGCTCACAGCTCTCCAACTTACGCGGACTGCAGGTCTCATGTGGCCCATGAGGAATCAAGATGCAGCCCACATGGAATTAAGATGATCCCTCCTAGCCTCCCCAAGCCACTACTGACCTTTATCCCTCCTGTTGAAGCAGCAGCTGGGTTTTCGGGGCTCCCCCTCCAGCCCCTACTTTCTACTGCATTCCTCCACCCCAAGGAGAGGGATGGGCACAGCAGTGCAGTGCTGCATAACCCACACTGCCAGAGGAGCTGGTGGCCTAGAGTTCGCATGCGGCATAGTGCAGCAGGGGAACCTGCAGCTAGGCAGCCAAAGCTGGCCATGCATACAGTGGGGAGGGGGTTTGGGGGGGAACATTTGTGTGCAGTGTGGAAGGTGGGGGAAAGGGAATGCCCATGGGTGGGCATAGCATGGTATGCATCCTGGGGGACCTGTGACCCCCATAGCATGTGGTCGCCAGCTGCTTAGAAGTTGGATAACCCTAGTCTAGTTAATGAGGAGCTAGTTTTGAATATAAAGAAAGAAAAACAAGTTCAAAACAGTTTGGTTTCAATGGTTTTTTAAATTACTTTAAAAACATTTCCCAACTGGTATATAACAGTGTGTCTGTCCCATTGCAATGGAAATGCACAGTTCTATAAAAATAATGCCAAAAATAAGACAAATGGAGAGGAAGTTTAAGGGTAACAAGAGATTAAAAAGTGGGAAGTGTGGCCAAGACTATAACTGCAGGAAAGTTGCTGGGTGATGAGAACAAATTTAACTTTTGCAAACATAAAAAGATAAATTTCCAGTAAAGCTACAGTAATTTAATTTTCAAAAAACTAATGCTCTCAATACTCTGCCATCAAATCTTTTTTTGGCTAAAATGCTAAATGCAAGTAAATCAGGAAAGCAGTGAATGATATGTTTAAACTGTAGTGAAATTAAAGGCATTGCCTTCCTTTTTGGTATAAGGTGCCCATAGCATCATGCATCACTGCTTTATATACAAATCTGAATCCTCCACTTGCACTTAATAGTAAACCATTATTCTCAGTCAGGGTATATTAAACACATTTTAAGCAGATGTTTGCATCAAAATTTATTACATGCCAATCTGTATATCATTAAAATGAAAAATCAATATGTCCAATTCATGCGTCAACAGAAGTTAAATGTTCTAACTGTCATTGTGGATGACATATAATTATAGAATAATGATTTACAAAGTTCAAATCATATCTCCTGCAAAGGGCAGCAAACAGTAGCAATATAAACTTTTTTGAACAGGACACCACAGCACCATTTTGTAACTAACAACACCTATGCAGCCAAATAAAACATTATATTTAATAACAGTTATTTACTTAATCTTTACATTCAGGTGTGGCTATATGTTCAGTTGATGAAAGAACATGCAGCTTTATGTTACTGGGTTGCATCCAGGTTTTTATTTAAAACAGGAATACTGAAAATAAGAACTTCAAAAAAAAAAAAAAAATGTGACAGGCTTTCTGTTCTGGACCATTAATTTTTCAAGTCAGATTGAACTATCATTTAATTGGATCCTGATGCTAAAACTTGGATTCCACATTAAAAGCTTGAAGCTAAAGCATATATAATAATTTGTTATACTGAGCTATTCATCCTAAAATGTCAAGCAAAAATAAGACAAACTCAAAATAAAGTTAGTCTACCTTCTGCGATGACACAAAGTTAACAACACAGAGAAATACAATCTTTGTGCTGGCCAAGAAACAAATCCATTAGTGTTTCCACACACACACACACTTGCCATTAAATTAAACATGAGTTAAAATTAACACAAAATAACAGGGAGTGCTATTCAGCAGAAATCTGACTTCCAAAGTATTGGCAAAAAAGACTACACAAGAAAGCCAAGATTTTCAAACGCAGCTAGCAATTTTAAGTGCCCAACTTCAGACTACAGAAAGAGGGCCAATTTCCAAAGACAGAGAAATAGGCACTTCATGAAAATCAAGCCCTCTTGAAGGTGTTTCAAGTTTACAAATCACTAGTACTTTGAAAACTCTTGATGCATGTGGCAAACACAAAAAAATTCTTCACTCCTGAAAATAAGAAATGTCCTTTCCCCTGATGTTAAAATTATGCTTCTAATCTCCTGTTTCCTTCTCTCAACTCATGAGAGATGTCAAAATGAGGATTACAATGCACCACCTCTTGAGCTTCAGCTAGTACCTGCTAGATTTGTTCCCTACTCTGCAGACTAGATCCAGAACACTGTCACTGGGACACATTTTCCACAACTACTCTACTTCATCAGCAGCATCCACAAAAAGGAGATAAATTCTACCAGGTTTATTAGCAGCACTGTATTTACTTGTATACCACGTGTCTTTCCCCCCCAAATTAGCCATCCATTACTGGTGCGTTTAAGTGAGGAGGCCGCTTTCCTTACCAGAAGGCATGTATGAGGATATTGTAATGACTGCCAGGGGTTGCACTGCCTTCCTGAGCCCATACAGGAGGGGCAGAGCCTGATTTCCAGTTACTCACCCCCTCTTTCAAGCTCCAAAGCTCAAGTTTTAATCCTGTCACAGGATTAAATTGGAAGCAGCTTTTGGAGTTGGAAGGAGGGGGTGAGTAATGCATGTGCCTGAGAGCATTCATCCACAGTGAGTCCATGCTGTAGCAGAGAAAGCCCCGAAAAAAACGTGTTTTTCTTCATTCTGTTTTCCCAAAGCAAGGTGCCTTATTTTGGGGGGTGTGCTATGCAAGAAAATATGGAGATCCTGCTGACCAGAAAAGAGAAATAATGAGCCATAACACTGAAAGCATCCTGGTTGTTCTTGCTGTTGGATTTTTTTTCCATGACCCAAGAGATCACCAAAATTATTTTCATGCAAATTCATTCATTGCATTAAAAATATTTGCATTATTTTCATAAAATGTATCAAGAACCATAGGAAATGAAAACTAAAGGTCTACATGACTGGAAACCTGTAAGCCCTTGTTTCTAATGGGAAATATGTCTTGGGAACAGTGTTACAATTTTTGGTCATCTGTAACACTTCAGAATTGGGGAGCAGCAATGGGACACACACTGGACAGGAGGCAAGTCGGTAATCAGAACAATCACATTCATTCCAATCTGATCCTAGTGGCCTTCAGATCAAGAGTTTACAGCTAGAGTCAATGACACCTACTTTCAAAATCTTAGTTTTACTTTCCAAATTGTACACAATGCTAGCCTCTCATTTTAGCAATTTAAAAGAAAAAGAATGGCTCTTAACATTCATACTGGGACTGAATAGTAATGCAAGAACCCTATCACCCAAGTGAAAGGGGTTCCATAATATAAGTACTATTTCGATATTTTTGTTATGGAAGAAAAAAAATGTTCTCCTAAGGCTTAGCATCTCTGGAAATCAGATCACTTATTCAACTAACAAAATTAGGCACCTATTTTTGTAGCTGGAATTTTCAATTTCTACTGAGTCTAGGAGTTAGGTTGGCTGACCTAAAGAATTCTTATCACTACTTTTCATTTCTTCCTCTCATGTCACAGGCTACACATGTAAGTGGACAGAAGAGTATTTTTCCATATCTTTATTACAGGTGATCTTAAGAAATTCACATCAAAAGTAGAGCTGTCTTCAGATACCAAATTGTTATTCTACCCTATACTTCAAACAAAAAGATTTTCAAACAGTGTGTGTTTAATTAGGACAATCAGTTTTATTTTTTTTCCAGCAAGAATGTAAAGACAGCCTTAAGTCTCAAAAACATTAGTAAAACACTTTAAATTGAATCAAATGTATAATCCCTCTAATAAATATAACAACCCAATGATTTAAAATGTCTAGTTTAAGTAAAGATTTTTTTTTTAGATCAAAATGCTACCTGGGCATTATAACCTTAAAACGCAATGATATATTAAATTGAGATTTTCATTGAACAGAAACAGTCTTTCCTCACATTACTATTAAATGCAGGATTATCTGACCTTGAAGGAAGAATATAATTGATAAGTTTGTAATAAGCAGGGAGAACTGATAAACGATAAAACAACAGATCAAATTGCTGTTTCCCTGCTTTTTTCAAAAACATAGGGCACAATTCTCCACTGCCTTACAATGTGTATAGTCATTTAAATCCAAGTGTAATATGGAAGGTGTAAACATTACTAAATCAAAATAGAGGCATTTTGCAGCCATTTTACATAATCTCAGATTCCTAACAGTCAAGGCACAAAGGTAGAAGGTGGTGGAGGGTGGAAATAAGCTTGTTTCTGCTGTGTTTTCCCTTCTTTTTAATATTGAATGGTGAAGTATTGAAAGGCTGAGAGAGAAAGAGACACATTTATTGTTTTATATAAAGAAAAATACATTGCAAACTCAGGTGTCATCTGCCCTTGAAAATTCAATGGCAACTGAGGTGAAATAATACCATCACACAAAACAAGAGACTGACAGCTAAACAAGGGAGAAGAGGGGATTTTTAGGGAGACAGTTGAAGATACTGTCCAATATTCATTTTTATTAACATTATGTTTAAAATCAATGACAAATCCAGAAAGGAACTTAGGTGCTCCAATGCTAGTTGTCACAATGCCAAATTTTGGGCGCCTGGTTTCTGGCGTTGGATCAACATCCTGAATTGGGCACCTAAGTCCCCTATACAGTACACGGGAAGAGTCTGGTGATTCAGAAGGGGAATCAAAACAGGGACCAAAAACTGAACCTTGAAGCACTTAAACTAGCTAGTGGGAAACATTGATAAACACCCAGCTCAAGGCTACAAAGAATTGGCTATATCAAATCAGAAATTAAAGCCTGGAACCTCTTGCATGAATTAGGTAGTCAATCTGTTCCTTTGGTCTTACTTTTCTTTGAGACATGAGGAGGAGAAAGCGATGGTAGTGACGATGCCTCCATCCCGCTGACAACCTCACTCAAGCCGAGTGGGTGGAGTATTCAGGCTGTGGCAGGTCTGGGTTCTATTGCTCCTTAGGAATGAGTTGGCTTGAACCCGTATCCCTCACCCTCGTAAGCAAGCACTCTCAACACCTGGCTATAGGCAGTTCTTGGGCAAAGGGAGGGAGGGAATCTCTCCTCTGTTGAAACTTTCACACTGTTAGGAAAACAATTCAAGATTTATTGGACCAGAGAAGGGGAACAAAAAGAAGCAGATGCATAATGGTAGCCCTACACCCTGGGCAGAGATGGCAGTGCTTAGAACAGCAGCAGCTGTTGACAGCAGCAGCTACTTTTGCACACCCCACCCCCCTTCCTCAAAAGTGGTGCCTGGAATGCTGCAATGGTCACCACCCCCCTTCCCTACCACCCTAGCTATCCTACTGAGAGCAAGCATGACTCTGTAGGTCAGTGATTAGGGCTCACTCTTTGTCAAAGAAGAGAGACTTGGATTCTCATCCCTCCTTCAAAGACTGCTTATGATTTTAATACTGAACAATCATTTGATAAAATGCAAGTATAGTCCTTTGGAAGAAAGACCAACATTCATGAAGAGAATAGTTGAGATTTTAAGTCTTGCACCTGCTCAGGCAGAAGAGGGCATAAGACTAGGCCTATCACATCCTAAACAAGTATTCTTATCATTAAGCTATTGAATAAAAGGGGAGCACCACTGTTACCCCCTTCTCTTTTTCTGGCCGTATTTTGAAATGAGAGTAGCCATGGTCACTCACTGCCTTTTGTCAAGAGCTTATTCCTGTATGTGTAAAAGATAATGAGGACTTAGGTGGAAGAACACCTAACTGAAAGATTTCAAACAGGCTTGAACATGACATAGACAATGAGCTGCTCATACCTGTCAAGGCAGAAGCAGTTCAGAGAAGGGCAGGCGCAGAGCTTCAGGCCAATTAGTTATGCCAGGCATGGTGGGCCTAGGCCCACCAAGAGAACAATAATCTTCTCTCGGCCAGGGAGGCCTCTAGAAGTATAACAGATTTTTGGGGGCAACAATAGAGAAAGCTTCAATGGGAGTAATGTTCATAGGCTAATAAAAAGGGGTCTAAGTGAGGACTCCAAGCAGAGCACACAGGCCAGCACTCACTGTCCCTGAGTCCAAGGAGCCTGTGAATGCCACCCATTAAAACTCTGCCTGGAGACATGCACAAAAGAGCGATAAAAAGAAGCAGAGCTTCAGGTAACTGGCCAAAAGCAGCACCCTTGTTTGGACCTTCCACAGCATTTGAGAGTAAATATAGCTTAGTCATTAAGATGTGCAAACAAGAGCACATGTGGGGACTTCTCCTTTTGCTGCTCTGGCTAGTTAGAAGATGCAGGCCACCTATTTGCCAGCTACATTTAGTGGCAAGGCTTCCCAAACCCCTCGTAGCCATGCGCAATACTCTACATCCTGCTACTGAACCGTCAAGACACTTAAAATAATATGCTTAGCTTGATTTTCTGTAGAAATGTATTTGTATTAATAGATAGCTGAGATACTGAAAAAGGGCACGTGCTAAGAGATTCAGGTACCTACCAAGTCTGAGGGAGTTTGAGCATTGTACCCTTAGACTTGGGTATTTAAATTCTACCCACATCCTTTTACAAAATGTAAGCCTTAGACCATTAAGAAATAAGAACTTCCATAAAGTTTGAAAACACACACACAACCTCAAAGACAAGAGTTGACAGCAAATATTACACCCAATAAAAACTCCACTGGCAGAACCAGAAATACCTGATATTTCACAGAGCGCATGGAAAGCCACATGTGTACACATACAAACACATGACCGTAGGGGGAAAAAAAAAAGTCAGCTCTTAAAGTATCAAAAGAACAAGGTCAAAAATCCAATAGTTTTATAAATTGCTTACATCCTATTCTGCAGGAAAATTTCTGAAATTATTTTTCTGTTTATGGTTTGTAAAAATTCCATCTTCGA